ACTAGTAACAGCCGATAGACCTCCAATAAAATGCCATTTTAAACGATATACACCACCCTTGACTACTTTACCACAAAAGTGGCAAGTGAAATTGTTCCTACATTTAGGATCTTGAGTTCCATATTTTCTACCGGGTCACCTGATGAAGTGTTTGAATTTGAACTCGTAATAGGTTCCGATTCCGACATTCTGTAAGTTGGTCGACTTCTGATTCTTCACTTTGCTTCTGTCGATTGTCGAGCTTCTTCTTCTAGGCTGTCGATCTTTTACTACTATCGACTACTGCTGTTGCTTCTACTTCTACTTCTTCAATATATGACTTCTCGTCGTTTTCTGCTTCTTTGCTGGTTGTCGAGTATCGACCTGGTTATCGACTGTCGAGTATCGCGCTTTCTGCTTCTTTGCTGGTTCTACTTCTTCGCTGTCGGCTACTTCTATTAGGTCGATAACATTAACAGGCTGTCTCTTAACGTTCTATTTTACTTTAACGTTCTATTTTACTTAAGAAGCCCAACTAAACACTGGAAAAAAGCCCAAAAACGCAACATACATGATGCGCTGATGCACAAATGATGCACGCATCGAGTGATGCGTAGGTGATGCGATCGCATCATGGAATCGCAACGCATCAGACCCTTTGATGCGTTTTCTTCAGCGCATCACAGCGCATTGCACATCAGATCGCATAATGCGCACATTTTTAAACCCAGCTGCACGGTATGAGGAATGGTGGCGGAATGGGCCCGTTGAACCTTCGGGTCATTGTGTGCCGGCTCTGCCAAGAAGACAACGTCGTAGAAAGTTAAGATCAAATTAGTTTCTTTATAGTAAACCCTTAGCGGTCTTTTGTTGTTAATAGGATGTTTTTGCGTGTCGTAGAAAGTTAAGAGTAAATTAGTTTCGTTATGGACGGTTGTTAATCAGTTAAGTCGATCGAGTAATGATTGTGTGGTGTCGTTTTCATATGGTGCATTATATACCGTGTCGTGAACAACTATAATTAGTAACGAATTATTTCGTTATAGAAAGTCAACATTTATGTCGTTGGTTAAGAATCTTTCGGTTTTTCGAATCTTTTATCGCACTCAAATGTTGCTTTATGTCATGGTACCTAAAAGGTTCAACAACAAGAACGTTGGCGGTGGGAGCGTGGTGGATAAAGACGAGTTGATGATAGAATCAGCCCGAGTTTAAATACTGTCATCTATTTTGGGACTTAATGTGAACCATCAGATCAACACCAATTAAAAGTGATCAAGGGTCCAAATCCCTTCTTACACTTCTYACCTTAACTCTTATTCTCACACGATCTTTCGTCTCTGGATCTTTTCCCTATATATTATATTATATTATGTTATATTATATTCTATTACCTGTAATCTAGTCATAAATGCTCATTAAGGTTGTTGTAATCTAATGCTAAGTATTTGAACACAACAAACTTATGACGTAAGATATTCGAGAGCTGACTTTTTATTTTATCTACAAACTCACTCCTTTTCTCAATTGGAACAACTTCGTGGCATAAATTTGAGGTTGGATTTTTAAAAAGAATCGAGCCAAACGAGCGGATATGTCCCGCCCGAAGGTAGGGTCCACCGGGGGCGGAAAGAAGATGTACATAGACCTGACCTCTACACTGATAATATCGAGGTTGACCTTTTATATTCTCTAAAAGATCCTTCTTGGACTTTGTAATTATGAGTTTGTTGTTACCTCCATTTGGGCATTTATTGCACCTATTAAATTATACAATCCAAATTCCTATTTAAACCACT